TGCAGCTGTTCACACTAATCGCACAATTATGCTCAACAATCTGCAGATCGAGTTCTTTTTTTTCCTGGTTTTTCAAATGTGAACAGACCGATCTGACCAAGCAGAACTTCGAATTTGAACTTTGATTCGAACTCAAATATCGATTGTATCGATACCAAGTCGGTATCGGATTGATACCAACCGGGTGAGATCGATTCTTTACTTTAAGTTCCGCTCTTGTTTGCAGTGCTGTGGTTTGGCAAAGACGAAACAGCCAGGTCGCCAGATTCGCCGCTCCTGTGTGAGCGCAGAGCAGGCACACTCTCCTGTTGCTGACTTAGACGCTTGTTAAGTTGTTTACATATTAATTATATTTTCACCAGTTGTTGTTTTTGTTGTTGAGAATTTTAATTGTCATTTTTGTATTATAGTTGCTCAACAGCACTTGTTTTAATTGGTTTACTGGTTTGCGAGCACTTTTTATTTAAGATTTTTCAAAAAGTAAATAAATAAATAAATAAAAAATTGATAATATTCATTTTCTATTTAATTATAAACTATGTCCTAATTATGTCCTGGGTTTAAACTATTTAATAATAAAAAAGGAAACGCCACAAAAACACTTAAGGTCATGAAAATTAATTGAAATTTAGCGATTCAATGACGCATCCACCTTATTTATCGAAAAGTATCGCTATAGGCGACACTGGCCCGTATTTACTTGTTGTCGGATCGATACCAAAATATTCAGTATCGCACACCACTACTTCCTTTCCTTGTTTAGAATCATCCAGACAAACTCATCACTGCTTGATGTGGATTTCTTTTCTTTTCTTTTCCCCACAAGCTCACGCATGCAAAAGAATTCTGAATTTCATGTTGTTTTTATCTAAACACGCTCGGTGCGTAAGGGCCTGTACACAGCAATTAAAGGCTGATTTATTAGTGCATGAAGACAATGATGTTTAGTTTACAAATGCAGCTAGAAGTAGTCAAAAATGCTATGATAGTGTAATGAGTAATCATTTAAATGGGAACTAGTTTATTCATTTCATATTTTTATTCTTGACCTCTATCAGAGCAGCATCTAAGTTCAAGAATGACCTTTGTGTAAAAAAGATAAATAAATCTGTCTATCTAGAGCACAATAAGTGCCCTTTAGTTACCAGCATAAATTTGGGAGACAAATTGGTTTACAGGAAGCTGTGAGCACCAGTAAAAAGCAGCTCGCTCTGAAAAGTGGAGATAAAAGATCTTATTGTTAGTCAGGACACTGAGGATGCAAGCATCTTATCGTCTTTACTTTTGTTTTTGCTCACTGCACAAACTACTCATCAGCACGTCTTAATCTGGTTGTCAAAGCTTCACGTTGCCACAATAATGGAGATGCATGTGTTTCATCTTCACAAGTCAAAAGGAAGCAGTCAGAATAAACACACACCAGAGCAAAATAAGTTCTTTAAAGAGGGGACAGCAGAGGAGACAGAGGGGGCAGAGGCATGGAGGATTAATACCCATATCATTCAACACATGGGAGAAATGCAACTACAGAGCAAGTGATGTCATGGTGATATCACACATCCACAATCTATGAGTGTGGAGGGGGTAAGAGGAGGGGGTATACGTACTTTCAGCAGCTAGCAGTCCTAGAGACAGCACAGCAGAAGGAGAAAACGACACCAAAGAAAGAGAAGCTGAGATTAGAGGAGGTTTAAAAGCAACTACGGCTGCAGAGAAGAACAAAAAAAAAAAACGCAGCTACGGCAGACAGAGAGAATCAGCAAAAGCAGCTAAATCTGGACAAAGTCTGCCGAGCTGCTGCAGGGATCTACAACACAACACGTCTAGTCGAGCAACATGTCTGAAGCAACACAGCTGCAAAAATAAAACAGTCACCAGGAAGCATGACTGCAGCAGACTGCCAGCCTCAGCACAACGGACATACGAGTCCACGCGGCTGCAGCAGCTGCTTTTACAGCACAAATTCGGGGGAAAAATAAATAAATAAATAAATAAATAAATAAATAAACAAACAAACAAACAAACAAACAAACAAACAAAAACAGGTTCATTAGGCTGATCCCGCTGATTAGCTGATACTGAAACGCACTCGGTTTCTATCGTTTAGAACTGGGTCGGGTTTCTTTGTGTTGCTCAGCTCTGGCCGGCACGGCCTGCAGTCTTCTCAACAGCAGAAGTGAAAGTGTAACGCTGAGACAGGGAAGTGAGGCTGCTGTTGGGAAATGTGTTCATTAAACAGGGAAGCTGTGCACTGACAGCTGCTTTTCACAAAGACACCAGAATAGAAACCACGTGAGCACAAACAGAGCTAGAAAGCAATTGTGATCATCTTCTGTTGCGCAACATGCACACACTGAACACTTTTAAAGAGGGTTCAATAATTTAATCCATCCATTAAAATAACCTTACTGTAATCAACACCATTTCGCTGTCCTTCAGGTTATATTTAAATTAATGCAGCATGCTTTTCACTTCTTTTAGGCTCTTTGTCATACACACAAACAATCTAATACCTGCGTCTCCCTGTTGCAAACACATTTAGAGGAAAAAGTCTGCCTGACAGTTACCTGAGGAGGTGGGATCGTCTGAGAAATCATGGAGCTCCTCAGGGGGGTCACCATAGTAGGAATTAAACTTGTGGCTGGAAACAGCAGCCAGCACTGCACCCTGGGACAGAGAGTAGGGGGTAACATGGATATTAAGTGAAATATACGTATATAAATAGATGTTATATATAAGAGTTTAAAGTGTTTAAAAGGTTGAGATGAGAGTAAAAATTCTGCCAGCAGCTTAATCTGGGTCATTAGAAACATCTGCACAGAGGGGATGTGGAGAGACTTCCTCTCACACCGAAACCTTTCCTCTTGGAGTCTAATAACACTGCGCTAACCTTCAGCTTCCTCCTGGCGTTGAACTTTCTCAGCTGCTCAACTGTTTCGGGCAGGTGGATCTTGTAGGCATACCTGTCCCTCTCCTGCATTTATTGGGAATCACAGACATAAAGATGAAGGACATTAGCGCTCGCACAGAGACAGTGAACGGATGTGAAAGCAGAGCTGTGGTTCTGAGCAAAAGGAAGTGTGCTTGAGTTAACATCAGTCAGGCCAGTGGTGTAAAGGTGAATTTGAGCTTGCGAAAACATTTACAGCAGGCAACAAATATTCACGCCGGTTTCTGGGTTTTTAAAATAGTAAAGACGATTATGAAAAAAAAAGAGGAAATCAAACAACAATAACCTCCTACAGCTGCAGAGATGTGAAGTGAGAGTATTTTTATTTGCATTCAGTTAATTTGAATGTTAGCAGTATGTGCATGTGTGTGTGAGTGTGTCTTGTGATCTTGCCTTCAGCCAGGGGTGGTTGAGAGCCTCATAGACAGTGATTCTCTCAGCAGGGTCAAGCATCAGCATGCGCCTCACCAGGTCCTTGGCGCTCTCAGAGATGTGAGCCCACTGGCGGGGGTTCATCTGAAACCCAGAGAAATATTCAGAAACGCGTGAAGTAGCCAGGATGGCAGCCGAATCTGGCAGTAATTAAAGATCCAAGGACAAATTACACACCATTTAATGCTTCATAAATAAACCCACATCATTTTTCTCCCCACTGTTGTGCAAAATGTTTCGGTGGTTTGCTTCATTGTTTTACAGTTTGGTTTTTTTGGCAGCAGCTTGATGGAAGATAGCAACGGTGTTGTCCATCACTCTGCACACTGCGACTGCATCTGCTACAGATTAGTGCACCAAACAGGAAACTCATACTGTGCTGAAAGCAGATAATTCATCAGACCTTTATCTTAGTTTTTTTCTGCTGATACAGTCACTTTATTCATCACCTCTCACATTCTTGTTGTGTGAGAGGAAAAGCTGAAGACACCGGGGGGGGAGAGGAAAGGCAGGCCGCAATTTGAAGTTCTGAAGTGATGTGGTAAAAGCACTGCATTCAGTTCCTGTAATCCAAGACCTCAACTTTGTATCTAACATGCACAACAGCACAGTTCAGTCTGAGCCTCAGGGCCAAAGCACAGGCCGTTTTGGCATTTAGCGCCTACCTTGTATTTCCCTTTGATGATAGCCTCAAACAAGCGCTCCTTGGTGCCGTAGAAAGGCAGGCAGCCGGACAGCAGAATGAAGAGGATCACTCCACATCCCCACACATCTACCGGTTTGCCATAAGGCTCCCTTTTCACCACCTCTGGGGCCATGAAGTGGGGCGTACCCACTCGACCTGAGGAAAGAGATAAATTTCATACACTACGCTGATACACTTTCATGATGAACTTTTTATTATTTAAAACACATTTAAACAAGCCCATCCCGTGCTCTTTTTTTAGAGCGCTGCTGCTTGGAGAATATCTCACAATCCAATACGAGAGAGTCAGAGCGGATAGCTCAGACAGTTACATGTTGTGATTCATCTAATGAGCATGGCTTTGGACTGTGGGAACAGACTAGGGCTGCTCGAGGAGACCCACATAGACCTGCTTACTCATATCCAAAATACTGCCCGGTCATTTCGCTCAATCCAGCCTAAACCACAACCAGTGAAAACCTGTTTCTAATAACGTGGCAGTTTTTATTAAGTAGGATATTTTTATTGAAACATTACAAAGAAACAAACAAATCTATTACATTTCATTATTATTAAGGTTGTGGACAGAATGTAAGCATGAGTGAGACGTACAGTAAGGGGGGAAAAACCCGACCTTTAAAGGAGACTATGGAGGTGACTGCATACGTAAGCATTAGTCTGCGTGAAGTCTGTTACCTCATTAACAAGTCGGTGCACTTTGCTGTCATTTCTGCATAATTGGTAACCACAGGTGTGGGGGAAGACCTACACTTGTTTTGTGCGCCACCTGTAATCACGGAATGCAAGAAAACCCTTGAAAAGTGTTTCACTGTACCTCCGGCTACTAAACCAGACTCTCCCAGCTGGATCGCCACTCCGAAGCCTCCGAGTTTCACTGGAGCAGAGTTCTCCTTTGAGGCCAGGAGCACACAGTGAGGCTGCAGAGGAATGAAAGACATGCGTCAGCACAGTGCAAATGACGACAAGCTAATACTTGGTACAATTAGGGCCCGACTGATGCGGGACAGTCCCAGCAGACTTTAAAAATCACACTGACTTTTTTTAAAATAAAAGAGGCACAAGCGCAGACACTGCAGAGCATTGCTTTGCTCTCTGTGCAAGAGTGCAAGATTCCATTATGTTCAAATGGTGGTTAGTGTACCCTGGTTTCACTTGAGCTTGCACAAATCTGACAGTGCGTTCAAAAGGAGATGCACATTTTTGTCTCACACTTTGTGTGCTACAGAGCTCGGTGTTGACTGACTCCAGCAGTGAGCAATTGAGAACTCTGGAGGTAATTCACAAAACTGAAGAGACCTTTTTTAACCCTCCAGTATGCTTTTTAGATTCTGGTTAATTCATTTATTTTAGAAACTTGGCAGGATACAGACAGACACGTACAGCAGGAATCAATAGCAAACATTAATATACATACAAAAACAACAGAAACACACACATTAGAGAACAAGTTGAAAAGTGCCTGGAAGTAGCACAAAGAAAGAGACTGTATGTACTTAGACTAGTGTGAAAAAGGTGACACCGAAGCTTCACCATGTAGTCACACAGGACTAGTACTGCAGGTCAGAGGCAGGTAAGAAAATATTTGCCGAGTGCCGTGATAGCTGCTGCTAAATTACAACGGCTAGTTTATTAAGGAGAAGGACATTAAGCCAACCGCGTTCACTGGCAGACTTGTAAAAACTGCTTAATCAAAATTGTTATGACATTTTACTTAATATCTAATTCACTGGACAAATAGTGCGGCGACTCGCCACGACCCAAAGCTTTCTGCGAGGAAAACTAATCAGCTGATGTCAGCGGCTGATGAGCAGCGAGGACGGTATTGCGTGGCATGTTTTCCATCACGGGTTCTGTGTCAGTGGTAATAAAACTGCTTCCCATCACAGTTTCACATATTTGTTCTTTTATAATAGTAAATCCAAGTTGCTAATTTTTTTTAAAAGACAACAAATGAAATGATGGGTTTCAGAGATGTAGATGCTAATTGGAAATAAAATTTGCTTAAAATGTTATCAAATGTTTGTTAAATGCAGTATTCCTCTCAGGTACATTCATCTTACTGTCCCTTTTTGTGACAGTAAGAAGACATGCACAACCATAGTGAGTGTGAAAAGTGGTGGGCTCACTTCCTGTCTTCTTATTCTTTGCAAATTTTGTAGGGGGGGTGGAGAGAGAGAGTACGAGAGAGACAGCAAGAGAGAGAGAGAGGGGGCCGAGTACGAGAGAGACAGCGAGAGAGAGACAGCGAGAGAGAGAGAGAGAGGGGGCCGTCTCACATCTATGAGAGAGGAGAGGCTATGAAAGAGCTTTCCAGTAAAGACTGAAGACAAGCTGAGCAGAGCAGAAGCGGTGACACAGACAAGCCTGCAGGATAAATTACTTCAGAGGTGAAAATGGCAAAAAGGCGGTGCTCAGCCAGGACTAGTTTCTTTTAACATAAAACAGTTAAACTCACCTTTATTCATTTAACAAAAGCTTTAAGAGACTGATAATGGAGCAGCATTAGATGGACGGAGGAAAATACATGCAGGACTACTGTGAGCTCACACTCCTACACATTCACAGCTGTGTTGGATCTCCTATGGAAGGATTATTGATGGTGAGTGTTGCACCTTAATCCAAACATCTGTGTGTACGAGTCAGAGTGACTGTGAGCGCTTTAGCATCTGCAGCGTGCACCCCTTGGCTCTGCTCTAACACCGTGGGACTGGAATTTATGCGTTAAACAGGCATAAAACTTCTGATTAGTCATGACTCCTGCTCCCACCCGTGAAAGCTAAATCACAGTGGAACTTTGAAAAAGCTGCACAGTGTACGGAGCTTTAATTTTGTAAGGTGCCGCACCTTTTTTCAACACAAATTACTATAATTTCCACTTGATGGTGGAAAACTCACAGATCATTACTTGTGTGTGACCTTAATCTACAACCTACGTATTACTCACCTCACTGTGTATTACTCATAAAACACACAATTGCAGTTTCAGTCCGTGCACCTTGTTTTGCTGCACAGCAAGAGCTTCTTTGTATGTCTATTCAGTGAAAATAAGCTGATTTCCCCCCTTTTTTCCACTTAGGTCCTGATGTTTAAAACTTCTGAGCCACAATGAATACGACTTTCAGGCCGGTACTCCCAACCTCTGCAGTGTTCGACACCTCTCTCCCTATATCCACGTCATCCCTCCCAGGCTACATGCCACCGTCTTCTCTTTCTCCTTTCTCCACCTCAAACTACACAGCTGTCACTTCAACCCCGATGCCTTGCTCATTTAATAATGAAAGCCTCCGTATTCTGCAGGCGGTGGTCTATTCTCTTTTCTTCATCTTTGGACTCGTGGGTAACCTCTTTGCTTTGTGGGTCTTCCTGTTCCTGCATTCGGGCCGAAACTCAGTGCGGGTGTTCCTCATCAACTGTGCAGTGGCTGATCTGGTCTTCCTGGCATGCCTGCCCTTCAGGGTCTTCTTCCATATTAATGGAAACAAATGGGTACTGGGACCTGTGGCCTGCAAGATGGTGGGAAACCTATTTTACATGAACATGTACATGAGCATATTTCTACTTGGATTCATCAGCCTGGACAGGTACTTGAGGCTGAAGGGGAAGGGCAGAGCACGGAGAGGCCTAAGGCTGAGGCTGTGGGGACAAAGCAAGCCGTGGAGCTGGGTGGCATGTGGAGTTCTGTGGATTGCATTCCTGGTGGGTACGATTCCCATGATTGCCGCACCAGAGGATAAGGAACACAGCGATAAGTGCTTCCAGTACAAATTGCGACAAAAAGCCTACTGGAAAGCCTACATCAACGCAGGGCTGGTGGCGATGTTCTGGTTCATCTTCATCATCCTCGTGGTTTCCTATGCCAAGATTGCCTCACGGCTGCAGCAGGTGTCACGGGACAAGCCGGACCTACCTAACGCACAGAGATACAGGAGAACCGCAAAGAAGTCCTTCTTTGTCCTCTTTCTCTTCACCATCTGCTTCGGGCCCTACCACGCCTTTCGCCCCTTCTACATCTCCTCCCAGTTGAGCTCAAGCCTATCCTGTAATTACATGCAAATCATGGACTGGACCAATGAGGTGATGTTGTTATTCTCAGCCTTTAACAGTTGCTTGGATCCTGTCATGTACTTTCTGTTATCGGGCTCGGTGCGCAAAGCTGCCCTCCAAGCACTCGGACGCAGACTCGGCCACCGGCTTCTCTTCCTGAATGACGTGACATCCAACAGCTCCACCATGGATTTCAGACGGCCGTCTGTCCCTGTGGTTGTACCCAACCTCGGTGTAAACACTCAGTCACTCACCCCCAGAACCAGTATGTGTGTCATCAACTCTAACCTCCGCTGCACAAGAGTGACTACGCTTCCACCTACTGGCCAACAGTGATCACAGGAGGAAAAAAAAAATCGGAGTAAAGCATTTCCATTGACGGCTTCGGTTCTAACAAATTATGCCCCCGTACATGAACCACTGTCAGAGATGGATTTTGAACCAATTTCCATTATTGGTTAAAGACAACAGATTTATGTCTGAAGACGTACTACAGCATCAGCCATGTCTTTAAAAATTTACATTTACAAGACTAATGATGATATGAAATGTGTGTGAGTGAATATCAAGAATTTTCAGTATTAAAAAAAAGTTTTATGGAGAAAAAATAAATTGCTGTAGACTTTAATAGAGAACTAACTTTTCTCTTTTCACACTCTTTCAGCACAGAGCACATTATATTGGCATACCTATACTGTTACAGTGGTGGATCCTCTAACAACAACCAGTGTTTCAAACAATGAGGTCAGAGTATGTAGGAGCTCAGGCTTCCTATTGCGTTAAATGCTTTGACTGTGGATCTTAACTCTGGATCCAGTGAAAGAAAAACTAATATAATTTTATTTATCAAGTGTGAATCATGCAGATTAATCGCAGTGAGTCTGCTCATGTAAGATAATCGTTTATTTACCCCAAATTTGTTTTAATTTTGAAGAAAAAAAAGTGGCTGGAATGGACAATAACCTATTTCGTCCTTTAAGCCTTTTGCTTTGCTTGAGCTCAATAGTCTGCTCTTACAAGAAGCAAACAAAAGCCAGCTTTGACCCACCATGATGATCAGCGCTTGCACTGGTTCTGCTGCTGACAGCTTTGAGCCCTGTGTGGTCAAATGGCTCAGATGGGATCAAGGGCCTGGTTCAGCACTGCTCCATATGGTCTAGTAGTGTCGGACACCTGTGTTTGAGGGTTAATCCTGTTGGAAATACTGGGGGATTCTGATTTTGCTCTAGGAATGTCTAATAAATCCACACAGTTGATTTATTTACAGCCGTAGATCCCCAAGTATTTAAGTAAATATATTTCTAAAGGTGACATCTGGTCAAAACTTCATATTAATAGCACATTTAGAAATGTATTTACTCACAACTTTACTAAAATTGGTGTTCAATATTTATTTTACCGCTGTATGCTACAGCTAACACTGACTCTTGCTGAGGTGTTGGTTTGCCTAAAGGAAAAAAAAGAGACCTCATGGTGGTTTATTCTAAAAACCACAGAGTAACTAAACTTAATATTAAAAGCAGATATCAAGGGAAATTTTCGGGTAAAGCGTGGGTCGCTTTTAGCATTTGCCTTCCCACAAGCAGTGAAGACAGCGTCTTCACAGGAAGGCAGTAACACCGTGCAGTATACACTTCTGGTGTGATAAATATATTTAATAGGTTGTCCTTTGCAAGTCACGGAACATGTTCTGTGGTTTCACTAGCTTGACTGCATGAAAGCTCACCTTTACATCACGGTGAATCACATTGTTGTCATGGCAGTATCGAAGCGCCTCCAGAATCTGCCTCATGTAGTGGCTGGAGGGACAGAAAGCAGAAAGAGAAGGGGGGCATCATTTAGAGCGTGCACAGAGATGTTGTGTATTTCAGGCTTTAATAATATTTGAAAATGTGAAGCCCACACTTCACAGACTGTGTCCCCTACCTGGCCACTGCTTCGCTGTACACAAACCCAGCATCAGCTCGCTTCACGATTTCAAAACACAGGTCTGCACCGTCCATACTAGAAAAAAGGAAGAAAGGTTTAGGGTGGGTATGAAATGATCTGTTTAGTAATGAGTCAGCTGAGAACTCTTTATTAGTATAGATTTAGATTTGGTTTAGATTCAGGCTACATTTGAATCATTTCAATAATCAGATGAAAGACAAAAAAAATAACAGCCGATACAATAAATTATTTTTCCTTCAAACACTTCTCATGTATAGTGCTGTAAAAAGTATTTGCCTCCTCCCGGATTTCTTTTTTGCATATTTGTCACACTTGAATGTTTCAGCTCATCAAACAAATTTTAATATTAGCCAGAGATAACCCAAGTAAATCCAGAATGCAGTTGGCCCTGTGTGAGAAAGTAAGGAAAGGAATTTTGGCCCACTCTTCTTTATAGAAGTGTTTTAATTCAGCCACACTGGAGGGGTTTCAAGCATGAACAGGCTGTTTAAGGTCATGCCATCAGATTTAAGTCTGGACTTTGCCAAGGCCACTCCAAAACATTTGTTTGTTTGTTTTCTTCAAATAAGCTAATCAGAGGTGGACTAGCTGCTGTGTTTTGGATCTGTTTCATCATAATTAAAAGCGCTCCTGAGCTTCACGACATGAACTGATGGTCGTACGTTCTCCTTCAGGATTTTGCAGTAGAGAGCAGAATTCATGGTTCCATCAATCACAGCAACAAAACAGCCCGAGAGCATCACACTACCACCACCATGTTTGCCTGTAGCTATGATGATCTTTTTATAAAATGTTGTTAGTTGTACATCAGATGTAACAGGACTCAAACCTTGTGTTTTTTTAGATGTTATTCTGGGGTCTTTAGTGACCTCCTTGATGAGTGGTGCACTCTTGGAGTCATTCTGGTAGGCTAGCGTCTCATTCCATTTATGGATAATGGCTGTCATTGTGGTTCGCTGGAGGCCCAAAGCCTAAGTGGCGGCTTTTGTAACCCTTTCCAGATTGATAAATGTCAGTGACTTTGTGTCTCAGCCGTGTCTTTAGATCGTTGAATGATGCTTTTTGAGAGATTTTTTTAAACCCTACTTCATTTTGTCAGACAAGTTCTATTTAAGTGATTTCTGGCAGTAATCAGGTCTTGGTGTGAGTACTGAAACTGAATTACAAAAGCATAGTTAATCACAGTTAATTCATGATTTAACAAGGAAGGAAATTACTTTTCCACAGGGGCCCAAGTAGGTTTACATAGCTTTTCTTTCTCCCCCTTTAAATTAAATAATTTCTTTGAAACATGCAAGTGTTAAAAGATGCAAAGATTTAAGAAATCAGGAACTGTAAACTATTATACTTATGATTACATATTGCGCTGGCCTAGCAGTATCTTCAAATATCACACTTTTTTTTCCCTTTTTCTCGTCAAAGAGACCAAGAAGTCTGAAACCACAAAAACAAGGGGGTGTGAAATTACCAGTAACAGCCATCTGCCTAGTGCTGATAAAATTAGTTGGTAACTGTTTGCCTAGTGCGGTGGTGACGGTAGTTTATAAGAGAAAAGCTGCCATATATAAAACATACAAAATCCAAACCTAAAATTGGATGGGAATGTGAACTGTGTGCACGACACACTTACAATTCAAAGACCATGTAGAGCATGCCATCAGAGCTGTAAGTCTCCAGCAGCTCCACGATGTGGGGGTGTTTCAGCATGTGGCAGATGCTCGCCTCTCGCTTCAGATCTGTGAGAAAGAAATTCAACATGGGCTATGGTGAGACACATCGAACACTTTGGATTTCATCCAGTCTAATTATACTTCCAGGTTGTGAGGTAAAGTGCTAATATTTAAATGTATGCCAAGAGTCGTGTTACTGCTTCGTAGACTTTAAAGTACACCTAAAATGCTTTTCCTTATTTTCTGACATCTATTTACAGCTCCAGTGCTGGATGTCTATACTTAAAATGGAAAAAGTTTCAAATGAAGCTGACAGCATATATGCAAGTGAGTCTTCAGACTGCTCTAAAAGGTCTTTTTCCCCCAGCTCTTAGCTCTAGGTGATGTCAGTGGGAGTGGATTGGATCCCCAATATCATCATCTCATGCACAAGGTTCAGCTTGTGAGCACGGCAGCCCGCCCACAGACCTTCTGTTTGTGAGACGCATCCAATTAAAGGGAGGAGAGGAAAGCTAAAAGAGCTAAAACAGGTTGACTGAGGAGCTGCAGGATAAAAGGAAAAAAAAGTTTATTTTCAACTGAATCAGGCGAAGCTGCCCTGTTAAGAGTCCAACAATTTAAACACAGAGTTGGAAATGAGCATACAAAGTTTGCTTATACAAAAACTGAAGCTTTTCATTCAGGCAAACTTTCAATATCAGATTAGCTTTTATTGTGTCCTGGGAGAAATTTACCTTGGACAAGCGAGGGAAACACATCATGTAAAATAACAGACAGATGCAAACATTAGTTTACAATTTTACCAATTATGGCACTAAATAAATTATACCTATTTCATTTACAATTTGGTATCCTGAACCTTTTTCATGAGGGCATTATAAAGCATGTGATTTTTGGTCCTAGTAACGTTCAAGTCCTGCTTTATCAGTGATATCTGAAGGGAAGATGAGGGGAGTATCCAGACTACCTTTCCGCCTACTGATGGACTTTATGCACTCAGTACTATAGGATCAATTTTCCTTCAACCTAAAGGTTTGCATTGTGAAACACATCTCCCTCTATACTATACTCACCCTATAAAACATTTAGATCCTTTATGTTTAAATGCAGTAAACGACAGAGAAACATAGAAATACCTGACTGCTCTTTTCATACCTCAGCAGACTGCCTGCCACATGACTAACTCAACACTAGGGGGAGCTGCAGAGCATTTAATTTGCCAGGTATCCTCTTCTTGATATATAGACTACAGACTAACTGATCAACAAGCTGGTCTCTACCAGAAAGAATGCACATCTGGATCACTGTCATCAACATCATGACTAATACAGATCTGCAGAAACAATTGCAACATGACTGTGGGGATTTCTTATGTTTTGACTGCCTGGATGGAAAACACGCCTACGATTAGAGGACAGACTTCTCTCTTGTGAGAAGAGCAAAGACACGTTGTCTAATAGACTGACAGACAACTGGCAGGACATGAGGTAACGACAGAGATGCAGACTGCTGAGGCGAGCTGACAGACATAATGTGCTGCTGTTGGGCTTCTCAGTCCATAAAAAGCTCATTTACACACTCCGCTCCCCATCTGTAAGTCTACTGATCTTTGTGTGTGTGAGTGTGTGCTCTCTTTGTGTCGTGACCACTATCATTATGCAATACAGAGAACCGACAGAGTCCCCACTACAGAGCCCCCTATTCTGCTCTCCCTTTGCTTCCATCATTTCCTCCTTCTCGCCCTTTTCACACCGATCTCTTGCCCGTCTCATCGAGTAGCCATTCTTGAACTTAACAATGCTGCCCACTGTCCAACGAGGAAACGGCTGATGGAGCCAGAGAGGCCTGGAACGCTCTGAATGAAGCTGATGCCGTCCACTGGGCCTTTTCCAAAGCAGGCCTCGCTTAGCCTTTGTCATGTCATGCTAATAAATTGCACTTTGAAGACTGCAGGACCATGTTGCCACACCATCTCCTGATATTCTAACTAT